AACACAGACAATCGACTACAGCAAATTATAGGACTGCAGTTAAGTATGAAAGGTATCGGGCGTACGCCAGTGCAACGTGAAAACTTTACAATAATGAATTGCTTCTGTCTTATCAACTGACATATATATTTATTGACACAACACTGACTCGAACATAGACATGAACATCAGTTTACTTTGAAAAGAAAAATACTTGTTAATTCAGACTCATTGTGCCAGCCTGGGGGTAGCTTGTTTACAATTGAGCATGTTTCTACTTGGCAAACATAAGATATTTGTACTCATAATTGCGATAATTAGATTGTTCGTCATAATGGTGACATTTTTTGCTCCGCTGTCGACTTTGTCGAGCGGAGCTTATCATATTAGTGATTGTCCGTCGGCGTCCGTCGTCCGTACTTTTTCGACTTCGTCTTGGAAACTACAAGTCTGAATGCTTTGATACTTGGTGTATATGTACCTTGGATAGACCTCTCTTAGATTTGTTCATTTCATTATGATATCTTCATTTCTCTAATTTTAATGATTATTTTTGTCATTTTCGGTAAAAAGTAATATTTTTGAATTCTTGTTGAAAACAGAAAGTCCGATTGCTTTGATAATATACATATTGTTCATTTTCTAATGATATCTTCAGTTCTTTAATTGAAATGTGTATTACTAACAGCGGAGCTATCTCAGCCGACAGGCTGCTTGTTTATGCTTTGTTGAAAAGTAATTCACTTTGCTGTTCATATTTTAGCGGAACTTTATGAAATAAACCTTATCTTCAATTTACTTTATGGTGCATTACTTACAAATTCTTTTTTCAATATAGCTTTGGGTTTTGTGGGTCTTCCACTTTAAATTCAGAGACAGTAATTCCTGAGTCTAAATTTACTAAACTGCTTCTTTAGCTCAATGCTTTCGATATCAATTAGGTATTGTTCTAGGTTGAATATTCTTTGGAAACCTCTGTTTCGTTACTCAAACCCGAGAAAATACATGAATGGCGCCCCCATCGACGCCAGCAACTAAGTTTGGTACTTGGTCGCCATAAAGCATGATACCAGTGATTGCGTGTGATCCACTCCTAGTAGTGGAATTTTAACTAAAATGTCCAAGAAGGAATTAAAAGACTTGTCATTTAGCATACTTATTTTAATAAAAGTTGTTCCTATTGTATGGAGACAATGATAGATTGATTTAGGTCGTATCTAGCAGGCCGTCAGCAATTTATGAATCACTTTGTTGAAATGAGCCAACTACTTTTTCTATTTTGATCAGCGACATACCAATTGCCGTGCTCTATTAAATTGTATTTTTGAAATGTATGCAGATGAACATACACTCCTTTCTTCAAAATGATGACATAAATCATGTTTGTAAGTGGGTCAAAACAAATAACATGTTAAAATGTGTATAGAAACAAAGCATACTGGCCGATATGCATATTCGTAGCTGGAGAGGAGAATATAGGCTAGAACATAGCTGATATTGAAAGTGAAAGGCTTGACATATATACTAATGATTGTTTAATTTAATGTAACCCATTGCGCATCATAATATATTAGGTGCCATTTTTGTATGTTCTGCCACGTAGGAAAAACATGTGGATAAACTAAAAAAAAAACTTGTAAACAACTGTAAAACCACAGAACAACCGAAAACAACTGAAAAAACACAGGGCAACCGAAAACAACTGAAAAACCCTAGGACAACCAAAAACAACTGAAAAACCACAGAACAACCGAAAAAAAACTGAAAAACCCTAGGACAACCGAAAACAACTGAAAACAACTGAAAACCCACAGGACAACCGAAAACTACTGAAAAACCACAGGACAACCGAAAACAACCGAAAAACCACAGGGCAACCGAAAACAACTGAAAAACCCCAGGGCAACCGAAAAAAAATTGAAAAATCACAAGACAACCGAAAAAAAAATGAAAAACCACAGGACAACCGAAAACAACAGAAAAAACACAGGGCAACCGAAAACAACAGAAAAACCACAGTGTCGCATACGACTTATTTACCACTTCCGTGTCACTGAGAATGTTCTAGAACCGTACTGTGTCTGGGTGAAATATTCTAGATTTTTATTTAGAAACTGGTTGAATAGGTAATAGAACAATAGGAGGCAATAGAAGGTAATGGAACATTCTAGAAATTTAGAGTAAATTCCAGACGCATTATGTATGCTGATGTAATGGTCTATTTATAGACAGTGTGGGTATATATAGGGGAGTTGTTCAGCACTGAGATCAGATCGGAGATCTCGTTGAATTGTATTGGAGTTTAAGTATCTAGTTATTGGAGTAGTGGAGTTTTACCGCGTTATTGTACTTGATGTTTGCAGAGTATAATAATACCAGTACCAGTTGAAACCTCATCTGTTGGCTCAGTGTTCGTATTTTATCATCGCCGCCAGGGAAGTCTTTCTGTTACTGTTGCCATTTTGGTATTTGAACCATCACACCTGTACTATATCAATTACGGTATTATTACGTTGCGTGTAACACACAGGACAACCGAAAACAACTGAAAAACCACAGGGCAACCGAAAAAAACTGAAAAATCACAGGACAACCGAAAACAACTGAAAAACCACAGGACAACCAAAAACAACTGAAAAATCACAGGACAACCAAAAACAACTGAAAAATCACAGGGCAACCGAAAACAACTGAAAAAGCACAGGACAACCGAAAACAACTGAAAAAGCACAGGACAACCGAAAACAACTGAAAAATCGCAGGACAACCGAAAACAACTGAAAAATCACAGGACAACCGAAAACAACTGAAACATCACAGGACAACTGAAAAATCACAGGACAACCGAAAACAACTGAAAAATCACAGGACAACCGAAAACAACTGAAAAATCACAGGACAACCGAAAACAACTGAAAAATCACAGGGCAACCGAAAACAACTGAAAAACCCTAGGACAACCGAAAACAACTGAAAACCCACAGGACAACCGAAAACAACTGAAAAATCATAGGACAACCGAAAACAACTGAAAAATCACAGGACAACCCACCGTCCTTGAGGGACGGTGGACAACCACAGGGAGCCCAGGAACTATGATCAACTGTACGCACTCCCTATGAGCGGGGGGGGGGGTATCTTCACAGGG